TTTTTCTTTCTTTATTTTTATTTCTCTTAAAAAACATTTCCTTCCTTTTGCAAAGAAAAAATATACTAGGCATATACTTTTTGTAGTTGACTGAGCTCTTTATTAATGAGCATTAAGATGAAGAGTATTTCCAAACAACCAGAAACCCCTACAACCCCACCTTTGACTGAGTCTCTCAGAGGCTCCCCTTGTGGGGTGATTCCAAGCAAAATCAGTGTCACCTTCTCATTAGATGGGATGATCGCAGACCTTATCCTGGGGCTGTTCTGCCTTCAAGGGTGGTGCTGGACCACCTCTTGTCTTACAGCCAGCAAAATAAAATGAAGAGAAGGTGGAAACTTAATTGTTCAAGCATTTGGGCAAATATCTAAATACATACTCAGATATCCAAAAACAAATATTGGATTGTCTATTATTAATTGAAAGATCCCCTAACATCTCTCCCAACGGATAGGAGAAGCATATGGACCCCCTCCTGAGGTTATTTTGATGTGAAAAAGTTTCAAAAGAATATCTACAGATGCTAAAGCACTCGATCTTAGTTTTATAATACCAAACTGTTTCAAGGGCAGGAAAAGATAAACCTCTGAGAAAGGATGAGAAAAAAAACCTTCCAAATTTCTAAAATGTTGAGGTTATAACACAATAGTTTGATCCCTGACAAGCTGACTGTAATGGAAATTATTGACTAAAATAGCAGTGGGGTGCCTAGTATAGAATGCATATGATAAATCATTTTGCAAAGGGGGAAGGATGACTAATTGATCAATTTTTTAAACAGAATTTACATTATTTAAACATAAATAAGAGTTTTCTCTAACATTTCATTATGAAAAATTTCAAACATACAAAAAAAAAAAAAAAACCTGAAGGAATTCTACAGCGAACACCATACACCCATCACCTAGAATCTCCCTAGAACCTGCGCGCTTCGCCACGTATCATTCATCCTTCTACTTTCTCAGACAGTTAATGTCAATCCATCTGATGTTGGATGGACTTCAAAATTCTGTTTTTGCAGTCAGTACACTTCTAAACGGTGGTTCTTTTAAACTCCATTAAACATATACTAATATGCTAATTTGAAAATAAAGTATTATTATTTTCTTGCTTAAGGTAAAAAATACCTTAAGGATCCTACATCCCTACCAATACGGAAACTGAGGTAAAAGGTTGTTGTGCTAAAGGCCAAAATGCCACTTTGAGCCATCTAAGAGCTACGCAGTGCCGACACCGGCCCGGTGGGTCACAGACGAAACGGGGAGGCTGCCGTGGTCAAAGAAGGGCGGTGACTTTTTTAACAGGACAGCTCCCTGTTTAACAGGGTTTGTTGTGGGAAGGGATTAGCAACTTTCCCAGCTATTCGGAAATAAAAAGGGGAAGAACCCAGAATAAAACGGGGTGTGGGGGGGGGTGTGGGAGAGGGGTCCAATAGAGCCTGTAGTAAAAAGAACATTGAGCCGAAAAGGGGTGTGTGCGGTCAGTTCTCTGGGTTTACCTGAGTCATAAAGGACAACAGGCAGAGGAACCTGTAAGTGAGAGTGACATTCACGATGCATTCCTCCCCCCCACCCGTCCCAATCTTACACCAAGGATAAGTGTGACAGTGTGGTGAACAGTCTGGGGCTGAAGCGTACCTCGCACACACTCAAACATTCCATGATGGGGGCGATCTTTGTAGGGAGAGGGTAGATGACCTGGGATTTGGGGGAGGCTTCGGAGCCAAGAGGCAGCTCTGCAGGCCAGTGGGAGCAGGAAAATCCCGGGATCGCGGGTCTCACGCGCAACATCCTCCACCCACCCCTGCCGCGCGCGCGCTCGCGCCACCCGCCGCCCTCCCGACTCTGTCGCCCCCTTTCACTTTCGCGTCTGCGTAGGTGTTTGCCCGGGCGGGCGCGAGGGCGCGCGGGGCGGCGCGGGGACGCGCGGCGCTCCGCGAGCGGTGGGGGGAGGTGCCCTGGCGCGCGGCCCCTTCCTCCGCAAGCTCCGCGGACCCGCTGCCGGCAGCGTTTCAGCCGCTGTCAGAGCTAAGGGACCAGTGGCGGCCGCCGCTGCTCACCCCTCCCCCAGCAGCGCCCCCGCGCGCAGACACGCCGCCCTTCCTCGGCGCCCCCCCACGGTGGGGGTGGGGCAGAGGCGCGGCGAGCCCGAGAGAGTGAGGAGAGCAGCAGCCTCCCCGGGTGGGCAGCGAGGGAGCTGGAAAAGAAACTTTTCCCTCCCGCCCCCAGCGCGTAGTCCCGAGTCCGCGCCGTCCCCCGCAGGTGGGAACTGCACCTGAGGCCGGGGCGCGAGGTCTGGGCCGGACTTTGGGGGTCCTTGGTGAGAGGTGGCGGGCTACGTGCATTGGGGTTCCTTTTTATCTCTGCCTCCTCGCTGCCAGTAGCTGGGGTGGGAGGGCGCCACTGGCGCCCCGAGCCCGTTTCCCACCAGCCGGTGGCTGGACGCTTTGCTACCTCCTCCGCTGGGGAGGGTGTGACCCGAGAAGGGGGCCGCGGCGCCAAGGGTTCCCCCTGCGGCCTCCCCCCGCCCCACACACACTCACCCACACAGACACAGACACACACACACACACACACTCCGACGCCCGACCTGTCACCGGCCACCCCAGGCCGGGAGAGGGGCGCGGAGAGCCGCGCTGCGGGGCAGCCGACGCGGGATCGCCCCGCGGAATTTCCCGGCTCCCAGGGCCGCCGCGGTCACCGCCCGGGAGACCAGCAGCCCCAGAGAGGGGCCCGCCTAAGGCCAGCCGCTGCTTCTGGGGGCGGGCGGGAGCCCGTGTCCCCCTCTGTGCGATTTGGCTCCGGCGCCTCGCCTGCTCCTGCGGGGTAACAACACTACTGCTCTCTTGCTCTACCCACCGTCAGAAGGGCGACCGCCGGGATTACCATCCTCTCCATCCTTACGGCCGATCTGCACATACTGGACTTGCTGGCGGCGGCGGCGGCGGCGGCGGCGGCGGCGGGAGTCTCGCGGCACCCCCCCCCCCGCACCCCAGCCTCCCCACCATGTCCTAGAAAAGGTGAGTGCAGCGAGTCACTGCACTGACAGCGGTGGGAGGGGAATTGGGAAGCTCAGGGGCGGCCCAGGTGAGGGCAGGGTCCGCGCAGAGATGGGCTGCGGGCAGGAGACTAGATGCCCGCCGGGCCGCCTCCGGGCAGGGGTGCTGGGCGGCGGGCAGGCGAGGGATCGCGGCGGCTGTCCCTGCATGGTTCTAACCTAGATTTGGCAAGAAGCTGAGATCCAGGGCAAGACCGACTCTCCCTAAAGGAGGTAAAAACTTAGTAAAACAGACACGTCCATTCCTTTAATAATGAATCATTTGGCAGCGCAGGCTGAGCTGCCGCCTCCTCGCGTGCCCGGGCGCTAGGTCCGGGACTTCCCTAGCTCCTGCCTGCCGCCCGCGCTCCACCCCAGTGCGATCGATGCCCGACCGCTCGCTGGGCCTGGCGATCGCGCGTGACGGCGGGGCCCGCGGGAAAGTTGGGACACTTGGCCAGGACTCCCGGCTGCGGAGGCACCGGTGGCCGTTCCACGCAGGGGAATGCTGAACACCTGAGTCGGGGGTCCGGACTAGCTCTCTTGCGCCTCCGCTGTCGCCTCCACTTCCAGGGAGTTCCCTACCTGGAACGGCTGGAAGTTTTAGTCTTCTTGCATTCGGGGTCGGAAATCCCAAAGCTTAATTAACTGTAAGACGAAGAGAGGCCTTTGGGCACAGGGTGAACGCCTCCCCCACGACTTACGCGGGCGCGGGGCAAGGGCGAGGCGGAAGGCTGCGCAGCTGCTGGCGCCGGGCTGCGGGTCGCCGAGGGCCAGGGGACCAGATTTAGGTGTGTACGTCACTGGTGGCGGCTTCGGGCCAGCCGGGAGCCTAACACTGAGCCTCGTACGCGGACCCTCAAAGTCCTTAGAAGTCAAAGTTAAGCCCAGCTTTTGGGTGGGCGGGAGGAGAATCGAGGTGGGGGCGGTTGGAGGGAAATGGAAATTTCTTCTTGCAGATGCTGGATCCTTAGAAAACAGTTCGGTTCCTTCCTCCCCTCTTGCCTGTTTCTCCCAGTTATATGCGCCCCCTCCCACCCATTATAAAGAAGTGAATATCCTCGAGAGTAGGCTTTTTTTCGAATTGAACTAGTGGAAAAATCCAACACTGAAGTAGTAAATACATCAACAAAATTATAAGGAGAGAGAGCAGCAATTCTTGACCCTGGCACTTTTGTGGCTGTTGTTGTTGGAGATTGGGGGTGGGTGGGTGAGGCTGTGTTTAAAGGGGTTGCCCACACCGAAATCACTCGCTTTCCCCGCACGGTTAAAACAAGGAAACTCAAATCGAGTGGGAACGTGATCCTTTTCCAAGCTGGCAGCGGACGCTGCGGCTGCTCTTCTGAGAGGTAACTCGGGAGACCCAGGAAACGGGCGTGGAGAGGACCTCGGGGGTCGGGTGGAGCCCCACGGGAGTCCTCCCCGCACACGGACGCTGTGGGTGGAGCCTGGGTCAGGGCTGCCCTTCACCTGGCGCTGCAGGTGGAGAGCGTGAGGGGACAACACCTTGACTGGTTCTCGGAAAAACCGACTTGACAGCGTCACCACACTTCGCATGTCTTTCCAGATATCTTGGGGTCGGTAGGAGGAGAGCCAGATGGGCGCAAGCCAGCTGAGGGCGGTCGAGCGAAGGGGGTTGGGGTCAGAGTGCGGAGGGTGCCTACTGTCCAGTGTCGTAGCTGCTGCCGGGCACCCCAAACGCCCGCCGTTGCTGCGGCTTTAAGGGAGCTGCCGAGTCCAGGCTGTGTCGCAGCAACTTTGTATCAGTCATGTCGCCCTCCTGGTGACTGACAGCCGCGATTGCCCAATGAGAAGCCACCTAGACCCAAGCAGCGTGCAGCCTTGCTTCCCCTTGGGCCAATAGTAAGGGCTCGGGGCGGGATAGCAGCCTGAACTTTATCTGGACATGTGACCCGCGTTTAAAAAGGCCGGCCCGGAGCTGGCCCACTGCCCCTCCGGGCTATCGCCGCCCTCTCTCCCTCTCTCCCTCCCTATTTCGCCCGCCCTGGCCCTGCCCCTACCCCTGCCCAGCCCGGTCCTCTCCGCCCCTCCGCGCCCGGGGTGTCATTGGACGGGGGAGACGCAAGCCAACTTCTGGCTGCTTGGAGGAAGCCGGTGCAGTCACCTGGGTGCAAGAGCTTTGCTGCTTCGGGCTCTCCCGCTGCAGGGGGAGCGGCACTCGCTGGCCTGGATGTGGTTGGATTTAGGGGGGCTCCGCAGCAGGAGTGTCTTTGCGTTGGCGAGCGCTGCAACAGGTAGACGCCGAAACGGACCCCGGCCGAGGCAGGTGTGTGGGGGTGCGCAGCGGGGCGCAGCTTGCCGGCCTGGGCGTGCGGCCGCAGCGCGGGAGCGTGCACTTTGCTGGGAAAAGTGGCTGCGTAATTCGGAGGCAGAGGCTGTATGGTGCTGTGAGCTTGTTGTTTTGTTTTGGTTTTCCACTTTTTCCCCCCTTTCGCCGCCAGAGGACTATTTTGGGAAAGTTTGGCCACTTTGGATAAATGCCCTCTAACGAGCGGCTTTCAGCCGCTTTTGGCAGTGGGAGGTCTACCACCACCCTTCTCCTTTCCACAAGATGAATTTCGGGTAGTTGGGCTTGTCCAATTTTTAAAGGACGTTTGAATAATATTTCTTTCCTCTATCATTTGCAGAAGCAGTCAAATCTCAGCTGGAGGTGTAGCTTATTAAGGGCAATTGAAGGAGATAGAGCTCCTCCTGATAGATCCTGCATGAAAGGGGCTCTGGAAATTCGTGCGTCCCTTTCCTTGGCGTTCGGGAAACTCCTGGGAGACTCTGCTTTCTGCGGCATCAGTTGGAATTCCAAAGGCAGGGGAGAAGGGAGGAAGCTTTTTTGGTGGCATCCGTCCTCCTCAACTGAATATAGGCTCCTGGCTTTCCCTACCGAATTTTTAAACACCAGGTTTAAATCATAATGGCTTATGGCACCATCGGTTTTAACTGTTATTGCCTAAAAGTTAGGAAAACTTTTTATTTGCTAGCAGACAAGTTTTGGAACCTGCTGAATTTCAAATGCTCTAAATTGCCTTGTAACGTTTGTATTGTCATTTCTCTAGGTGCTGTTATTGATGATATTTACATAGTAATGATAACAGCGTTCTCCATCTGTGAAGTTTTAATTTTATGTTTGACTTCATGGCACGCTATCATGGAAATGGCTGAGGAGAGGAGTTTTTAAAAATAATCTAAAGGCGAGCTTTTTCCTTTAAGGGAGAAGAAATAGTTTTGTTTGGGGATTTTGGAAAGATCAGATGGCTCAGTGAATTAGGTGAGTGAATAGAAATCAGGTGCGCTCAGTTCTAACTGGTTCTCCTACTCTCTTAGGTGACCTTGGGCAGGTTTCTATCATTTACCTCATCTATAAACGAAGGGAACATAATAATGGCTCTATAGTGGGAATGACGGAAAAGTAGTTACATACAACAAACAACTATGCAACTTGTGAAAATTGTGAAATTCTTAAGATTTTGGTCTTTTAGATGCCATATGATAGCGAAATGCTATAGAAAACTATGCATTTAAAATAGAACCATGTTTTGGGGGATATTAAAAGTGAAAGTGTTTTCAGATAAAATACAAATTTGCAGGAGTCTTTGTTAATATTCCTGAAAAAAAAACAAACAAAACTATTTCCTTATGGAAAAGGACAATTGAACACAAGGTATAAAACATAAAAATTTTAAAGTCAGATTTTTCCTTTGCAAAAATAGTATCTAAGAACATATACGTGGCTTAAAGTAGAACTTCAGTTAGTGTTTGTTCGTGGTTTTTTATTTAACTTGGGTGAAATTTTCTTAATGTTTTGTGGGGAGGCCATTTGTGTGAAAATTGCAGGATTATAAGAGTTTTTGACTTTGTCCCAAGAAAGTCTCTGTTGTAATCCCCATGGTAAGGGAGACAAAATGGACTTTATATAAGCTAGATTTGTATACAGTATCTTATAGGTTAGTAACAAAAACTTTCCCTTTACCCTCTGGATAGTAAGTTCTCCGAGAGTTATATTCTCCAAATAATATTTTTAGTATTCACTAGTAAGTTTAAGTTGACTGAAATTATCTTGAAGCCACGGTCATTATGCCAATTCCAAAAGCACAGTCTGGGTTTCCAGACGTTATAGGAAATAAATTTCTAACCCCACCCATTTTTTTTACAGAAAAAAAAATCAATTAGAATAATAGGGAGATCCATACAATATTTCAATAAACCTGTTTTTCAAAGTACCTGGCCATGCAGATGCTAGATGTGTTCCATTCTTCTGTATTTGCTGTTGCCAACCTTTACTCTGTCTTCTTTTTTGAGAGGTGCCTTAGTTTGGTAGATGAGAAGAATACCTTAAACAAAGCTAATTTAGATTTGAGCAAAGCCAGTGAGTAATGTAGTGAAATGCAGGCTATATGATGTTATTGTTACGGGAGTTTAAGGCTAGCTCAGCAAGACTTGAAAGTTGTGACCAGCTGCCTGATGCTAGCTGATAAGTGCTTGCTTGCAGAGTGCTTTAAGACCGCCCTTGCCTGCCTCTCCCATGTAGATTCTCTTCCAATCTTCATATGGCCTCACAAATCTGAGCTATGATTCCTACTTTAGGGAAGAGTGATGAAAACCGTCCCTTGGAATATCAGTAGGTGTTCTGTGATAAAAGGGTGCAGTGGCTCAATTATGTAGGGATTGCTGGATTCAAAAGGAAACAGGTTTCTGCACTGGGGAGCTGCCCAGGAGTTTTAGCATGCAGATTTGCACTGTGAAACTCCACAGATGCAGTAAGCGATCATCTTTTCCAAAAGACAATTCGAAGGATGGATTCTTGGAGCAGGATCTGCCTGCGTGGGGATTCCCCTGCAGACTCAGGGGAGACAGGCCTGTTGCCGAGGACCTGGGAAGAAAGAATGAAGCTGTAGGTGTGGGTATGGGAAGAGATGAGCCTGCGGAGGCCTTTAGTAAGGGTGGATAGGCGAGGGTGACTTCCAGGCTCTTGGGTAGAGGGTGGGGCATTCTACCAAGACCGGGAATGCGGGTTTAGACTGGGTTGAGGGAGAGAGGTGATACACAGAAGGTGTTCAGTTTTGAACATAAATAGACATGTTACTTGTGGTGTTTAATGAATTTGAAGCCAAAACATCATACCTTAGATATACATCCGTTCAAGTTTGAGATGGGGAGGACAGAATATTCTTAGGTAGAAGTCGAAGAAGCACATAATATTTACTGGTATTTTTCAACCTGTGGCTATGACTAACTAATCTTTCAGTAAAATAGAAAATGCTAGTAATAGTAATTCCGGTCCCATTTCAGTATGTAATGGTTGTACCCCGCTTCCCCAACTTTTACTTGGCTTTTATCCAGACGACATTTTTTTCTTTTTGGCTGGAATTACTAGATAACCACCTCAGCCTTTGTAGTTTGGTTTATTTTCCAGTGTCTTGAGATTGATTTATGATTAGGAATTTATAGGATAATACTGTTCAAGTAAAAGTAGACTGCCTAATTGGTAGGTTTCACTGGTCACAAATTACTGACTGTTGATTATATTTTAGAGTCCAAAATTTTTAATTTGCACGATGCTATCAGCTTGGGATGCAATGGTGAAATTTATAACGTTTTCTGCCTTCCGAGACCTTAAATTCTAATGTAGAATACAGAAAGGTTAGAGGTAATTACAACATGCAGACAATTTGGCCATTAAATTTCATTGTAGGGCCTTGTGGTAGTTATTGCTAGTTTATTTGGTAGAATCAGTGTTATTTTCTCTGTGTTAATTAATATAAGTTATGTAGCAAAAAGACTTCCTAGTCTCTCTCTAAGGAGGGGAAGGGAGGGCGGGGGTGGTAAGAATGGCAAAGCCAGGGAGAAGGTGGGGGGAAGGGTGAGGGGCCGAAAGTAACAGTTGCGCCTAGAACTGCAGAGACGACACCTTTAAGATCAGGGCCTTTATCTGGGTCATAGCTTGTTTACACAACCAAAGAATTATTTTTTAATGCATAATCATCTTAGGAGTTTTCTATATTAAAATGTGCAAATAAAATTTTTACTGACAAGTTAATTTCCTTTACTGTGGTGGTTCTCAGGGAGGTGGAGGGGTATTTGTGCCACCCTCCCCTGAACATCTGGCAATGTCCAGAGACATTTTTGATGGTCACAGCTGTGGAAGGGCACTGCTACTGGCATCCAGTGGGAGGTGGGGTCAGGGACGTGCTAAAGATATCACGGTGCATGGGACAGACCTCCACACAAGGAATTATCAGGCCCCAAATGTAAGTAGTACCAAGGTTGATAGAACCTTGATGCAGAGAAGACATGGGATCAAATTCCAGCTCTGCCACTTAGCAGTGTGCCTGTGCCTCAGTTTCCCCAATTGTATCGCTTGGATAATCAGTCTTCTAGGTTGTTAATAAGGCTAAATAAGTTAATGTGAGTGAAAGGCTTACATTAGTGCATTAATTATATAACACAAGAATCGTATAAATATAGCCGGTTATAACTATTGTCATGAAATACAGAGAGAGAGCCAGTGGACATGATTGCACGTTTACGACAACCCTGTAGGCGCCCCGAGGGGGGGACGGTGCCTGTTTTGCTTATCGCTGCAGTTGCAGTGACTGGTGGTAGGCCCAGGATGTAGCCCGCACTGGGTAAATATTTGTGGAATGAATGAACACGTAAGTTGGCAGGACTGTCTCGGACTTCCTCCACGTACTGAGGAGGATGAAGCTGTCTTGTCTGTTGGGAGTCTTTTCTAGCAGAGGTAACGCTAGGTCAGGGTCTATGTCGAAGTCCCCACCAGCACTGAAGTGCAGAGAAGAGTCCTGTCATTCCAGACATAGCCTCTTTGTGCTGTGGACCATCCTAATTGGTCAGGAATTATGAATCTCTGCTTTGTAGAATTGACGTTAAGTGATCTGGACCACTAATACAGTTTAAGAAAATCTTATTTTTTAAAAACAATTCTTAAATTGTTTTTCCTATGGTCATTCACTCAATAACTTTATATTGGGAAATGGTAACATTAATTGCATTTCCTTATTGTTTTTAATACAGTTGTGCCTTAGATATGAGAAACAGCTTCCCTAGACCCCCCAAAAATTCCAAAGGCTTTGAGAAGATTAAGTTTGAAACTTGCCTTTGTCACTTACTATGTCTTTGACCTTAGCCAAGTCACCTACTACACTAAGTCCTCAGTTTCCTCTTTGTTTGCTTCCTGGTACCCAGGGTTACTTTGTATATTAAATAAGTTAACATCATACCTTAGATATACATTGTAAATATTCTTTGCAAACTCTAAAGGCTGTATTATAGAAATAAGTTACTTTTATTTGGACACAATATATTTTTACAAGATTGCTTATTATAGTCTGGCGTCTGGACAAGTTATAGTCAATGCTCTGTTGTATCAGCACCTGAACGGGTAACAACTTTAATAGAACTAGAAATGTTGCTTATAATAAGCAGAATATGTACTTATAACTTAGTACAGAGATTTTCAACCTTTTTCATCTCATGGCACATATGAACTAATTACTGAAATTTTGTGGCGCACCAAAAAATATACTTTTGGCCAATCTGACCCAAGAAACAGGTATAATTTTGATTCATTCACCAAACAGCTATTGTCGTGTTGGCTATTATCATTTTTTTTTTAAATTTGACAGTCTCAGAAAAGAGGTCAGTGTCCCCGACTAACTAGTCAGGTATACCTGTTTTAAATATGCTGTGACAAGGTGGTTGAAAATCGCTGGCTTAGTCAATGGAATTTTAGACTGTCTTTTAGAGTAATATTGCTAAAAATGACTCTAATTAAATTTTTAATATAAATTTGTTTGTTAGCTATGGAGACCAAAGGCTACCACAGTGTCCCTGACGGTCTAGATATGGAAAGACGGTGGGGTCAAGTTTCTCAGGCTGTGGATCATTCTTCCCGGGGACCTACAGAGAGGACCGATGAGAATAACTACATGGAGATTGTCAATGTAAGCTGTGTTTCCGGTGCTATTCCAAACAACAGTACTCAAGGAAGCAGCAAAGAAAAACACGAACTACTCCCTTGCCTTCAGCAAGATAATAATCGGTCTGGGATTTTAACATCTGATGTTAAAACCGAGCTGGAATCTAAGGCACTTTCGGCAACTGTAGCCGAGTCCATGGGTTTGTACATGGATTCCATAAGAGATGCTGACTACGCCTATGATCCGCAGAACCAACAAGGAAGCGTGAGTCCAGCGAAGATTTATCAAAACGTTGAACAGCTGGTAAAATTTTACAAAGAAAATGGCCATTGTCCTTCGACTCTAGGCATGAGCAGGCCCCTGAGGTCGTTCATGCCGGACTCGGCGAACTCTGTGAACGGTGGGGCCATGCGCACCATTGTGAAAAGCCCTATCGTGTGTCACGAGAGGAGCCCCTCTGTGTGCAGCCCTCTGCACATGGTGTCTTCAGCGTGCAGCCCTGCTGGGATCGGCTCTGTGTCCTCCACCTCCGCCAGCTTCGGCAGTTTCCCAGTGCACAGCCCTGTCGCCCAGGGGGCTCCCCTGACATGCTCCCCAAGTATTGAGAATCGAGGTTCCAGGTCACACAGCCCAGCACATGCCAGCAATGTGGGCTCCCCTCTCTCAAGTCCATTAAGTAGCATGAAATCCCCAGTTTCCAGCCCTCCGAGTCACTGCAGTGTCAAATCTCCAGTCTCCAGTCCTAACGTGACTCTGCGATCCGCCGTGTCCAGCCCGGCAAATATCAACAACTCAAGGTGCTCCGTGTCCAGCCCTTCCAACACGAATAACAGATCCGCGCTCTCCAGCCCGACGGCTAGTACTGTGGGGTCTATCTGTAGCCCCGTAAACAACGCCTTCAGCTACACTGCTGTGGGCACCCCTGCGGGGTCCGGTGCGGCCCGAGACGTGGTTCCCAGCCCAGACACACATGAGAAAGGTGCTCACGAGGTCCCCTTTCCCAAGACTGAGGAAGCAGAGAATGCCATCTCCAACGGTGTGACAGCCCAGCTTAACATCGTCCAGTATATAAAACCAGAGCCAGATGGAGTGTTTAGCAGCTCGTGTCTAAAAGGCAACAGCAAAATCAACTCTGACTCCCCATTCTCAGTACCAATCAAGCAAGAATCAACCAAGCATTCGTGTTCAGGCACCTCTTTCAAAGGGACTCCAACAGTAAACCCGTTTCCATTGATGGATAGCTCGTATTTTTCCTTTATGGATGATAAAGACTATTATTCTCTGTCGGGAATTTTAGGACCGCCTGTGCCCGGCTTTGATGGGAACTGTGAGGGCAGCAGCTTCCCAATGGGGATCAAGCAAGAACCAGAGGACGGGAGCTATTTCCCTGAGGCCAGTATCCCGTCATCCGCCATTGTTGGTGTGAATTCAGGGGGACAGTCCTTCCACTACAGGATTGGTGCTCAAGGCACAATATCCTTGTCACGAGCGGCCAGAGACCAATCTTTCCAACACCTGAGTTCCTTTCCTCCTGTGAATACGTTAGTGGAGTCATGGAAATCACACAGTGACCTGTCATCTAGAAGAAGTGAAGGATATCCGGTCCTAGAGTACATTCCAGAAAATGTATCAAGGTAAGTTGGCTTTTCCTCCATTCTTGAAAACTGTGGCTTTACAAAATATGGAAGGTTAGTATTAAATTTACATTGACAAATTATGCCCATTTCAGTTTACTCTTTTATTTATGTTTTCAGCGTGGTCATTTAGTGTTCCCCCCACTGCTTATTGGTATAATGTTACTACGTTTTTAAAATAGAGAAAGAAAAAGTTCTTAAAATCTCTTAGAAAATATTTGTGTTGATTTTGACGGAGCTGAGATAGGTGTTTTCCCCGCTCGTGTTGTCTGTTGTGGGTATTTGGAAAAAGCATGTTTTCTGGTGCCTGCTGCTATGTTTACTTTAGCAGAGTAGTGCCAGATTCTTTTTTCTCTAGCTGTATCCTGGTTCACTAAAATTGCTTTAAATTAGTTTCTTTGTGGTTTTAGTCTTTTCCCCCCTTTTTAAGGTTTTCTTTATTAAATCTGTCCATTGGCTGTGAAAAGTGAAATTGAACCCCAAATTTGTTACCCACTAGCTCCCCACTCTCTTTGTCCTTTTCTAGTTAGGTTAATTGTGTGTAAGTTGTGGTTTTTAACACAAATAAATCATTTCCTTAACTGTTGAGGGCTTTTAAAGACTGAGCAGAGCCAAAATTACTCAGTGGACGGTCTTGCTTTCGTACTCATATTGGAAGGGAATTATGTCACTGCCGCTTTGAATTGGTACATTTATAACTTTTAAGATCTGCAAGGAGACATACGTAACTTACTGTAAAATATCTCTTGGCTTTCCTTGTTGCAGATAGCATACTGTATATATTTAGAAAAACAAGGAAGAGGTTTTAGATATGACTAAAGGGTGGTTCTAAGTTATATAATGAATACGTGCATTGGACTTTGCTTCAGTACTATTTTTATTACATGGTTGTAATACATGTTCACTTTATTGGACATATAAAGGATAGAGTTCTTAGATATAGTTCATTCCTTTGGCATTTAAGAATATATGGACATTTTCCTTAGAAGTTTTATTTTGTGAGTAATATCTCCAGGCTCTAGGGTTTATGTGTATTCCTATATCTTTCTCCTTCTATTTTTTTCCAAACCAAGAGCAAAAACTTTAATTTGTGCATTCCATTCCTCATCGTTGACTCAAACCTGACTCCTCTTACTTATATGGAAGCAAACATTCCATGAAAGATACGTTCTTCCAGCCTTCAACAACATGAGCTACTCCATCACATTTTATCACTGCCTCTGTCTCAAATTCTGACCTCTAATGTGAGTCAGGAGGTAGCTTTCACCAGAACCAGACTCAGTGTGTGCTCTACTGTTAGTGCTCTGTTTCCCATTTAGAGAAGGAAATCTGTATGTAATGTCAGTATTTTGTTAAGGGACGTTGTCCTCATTGAGTTAGTGGGAGGGAGGGTAGCCTGGTAGTCAAGAGCGTGGCTGCCCTGAGTGAAGTCCCAGCTGTGCAATTTGATTGCTTCACTTCCCTATGCACATCTCATTACCTCTCTGGGCTCTGGCGTTCTGTTCTGTGAAAAGGGGGTTAAATAGTTCCCGTCTTAGAGGCAGTGAAGACAGTTGAGTTCATTTATGAGAAGCACTTTGAATATCACCTGGTATGTAATAAACATTATATATTACATTTTAGCCATTAGTGTTAATTTAATTAAGTCTTAAGTGTTTTCAGAATCCTTAGTTTCTATTTCTTTAATTTTCTTTATTGTATGAAATTTGACAAAATAATTTTAAAGATTTATTTCTTTATTTTTAGAGAGGGGGGAAGGGAGGGAAGGAGAGAGGGAGAGAAACATTGATCAGATGCCTCTCGCGCATTTCCAACCAGGGACCTGGCCCACAACTCGGGCATGTGCCCTGACCGGGATTTGAACCAGTGACCTTTCGGTTTGCAGGATGATGCCCAACCCATTGAGCCACACCAGCCAGGGCAAGATAAAATAATTTTAAAGAAATATTATGTAGATAGAAGAAATATTTGTTGATAATTCTGATGATTAAACTCTACTTTCATTTTAAAAAACTATTAGGCACAGTACATTTGCTGCTACATTTGTCTTTATGCTTTTTTAGTTTTGAAGGCTGTTGATTCAAAAAGCCCCTCCTGATGGGCCAGCCTTAACCATATCAATGTGAGTCAGTGACCTTGGGCTCACCCTGTATTTGTGGGCACTGGAGGTGTTTTCTGGTGTCTCTGTTTAAGTATTCCAAAACTCTCTTTATGTGTGTTAATGTAGGGGGGATTCATTTTTGCTTACATATATGTTGGTATTGTACTAGTTAACATACGTTAATATCCATAGATAAAATTCATATAAACCGAAGCTCTTCCCAAAAGTTGAGAATTGCTGGCCTGTGCTGCTCTACACACCCATTGGTAGTCAACAAAGAAGAAAGATATTACTTTATTTGTGTTCACCTTACTGACTGTTAGGCCGAGAAAGGAGCACCCTATTCAAATAAGAACAATGATTCTCATCTAGATTAAATTTTCAGCTGATAAAATGAGTGATGGCTGGGAGTGTGTGGCGCCGTTTCTTCAGACTCCAGGCACTCGGTGAGAGCAGTGGTGAAAGTCACCTGTTAATAATTTCCAGTGCGGGGATTGTCCGAGCGAGCGCCACAGTGTGAAGTAAATTATGACAAAAGCTGAATGCAAAGCTCTCAGGTTGGACACTGGGCCTGTGTCATGTAGATTGGCGTTCCCTGTCAGCTTGGACACAAACAAAACTGTAACCTTGAATGAGTCACCCCTTCTCGAAGCCTCAGTTTCTTTATTTTAAAGACAACAAGATGCTTCTAAGGATCTGAATCCCTTAACATACTTGCCAGTGTGGTTTCACATATTTGCTAATGTGGTTCCAAGTATATTTTAATCACAAGTCTAGATCTGTAGTTTCCAGGGTAGTTGGGATAGAAAAAAATCACTTGCCATTTAAAAGTAAAAGTGAGTAGGCGTGACCTATCATTTTACTTTGAAAAGCAGATTTTTGAAAATCAGATCTTTCGCAAAATTTGACACTTACTATGAATTTCTGGTTCTATTAATTTACACCATTCCTTTGGGAAGCAGGCTCTTTTCTGTTGACATAACATTGGGCATTTGCGGCGATAGTGAGAGGCACGCGATAGCATCACAGCCCAGGGCTGACAGAGACTTAGACTTCTGAATATAAAGGTCACTATTTCAAAGGGCACATCCTGATAGGTTTCAAGATAAGCAATCAGGGTATTTATCTTAATATATGCTGCATTTTTTTATAATGAAATGAAACAATTTAGTAAATAATCTATACATTTTTTTTTATTTTTCAGTTGTCCCTAGAGTTTTTTTAAACTCATTTTCTATAGTAAACCAAAACCTTCAGAATTCAAGGCTGTTTGTTACAGAGTATGCCCTGTCTCAAGTAAACTTTCTGAGTAAAACCTTGAGATGTAAGTATCTCTATGTAATGCAAAGGGTGAAAGAATGATGAATTTTGGAATGGGGAAGAGGTGGATTGGTTATTGGTGCTTACTATATAAAATAAATCCATTACAGGATTACTTCGGTCATTTGGAAATGAAAACATGGAACTTTCTTTTTCTTTTTGTCTCATAATATTTTGATTTAGATTTCTCCAGGTTAGAATTCTAAATATCTTTAGAAATGATTTTCAGATAAGGTTTGCTTCTTTTTATGATTCAATTACTTTTATTATCTATGATATTTCTGGTGGTAATTTTATTTTAAAAAAACTTAGTCATTTTTAATCTAAAATCACTATTATAATGAGCTTCTATACATTAGCTTTTAACATCAGAAGTACCCTAGATTTATGTTACTATGTCTACCTTTTATCATTTAAAATATTAACATACTTTGAACTGTTTACTTCATACCTTAAAGTTCATTAAAGTCATGGTTTCAGTTAAATCAGCTCAGTATTCAACTTAAGGCCATTTCCATACTAGTGGAATGTGGAACTAGGATCTGGAGATTTATTGTTTATTGATTTGATGCCTTTTGCAAAATTGAAATTCTGGAAGCGTCTGACCTTTTCTGTTCTTGTAATGTCCGACAAGGGTGTCCAACTCACGGCCCACAGGCCACACGCAGCCCAGGATGGCTATGAACGGCCCAACACAAAATCGTAAATTTACTTAAAACCTTTTTTTTGTTCATCAGTTTTTGTTAGTGTTTGTGTGGTTAATATGTGGCCCAAGACAACTCTTCTTCTTCCTGTGTGGCCCAGAGACACCAGAAGGTTGGATGCCCCTGGGAGCAGATGTTACATTGATTGCCCTAATTTAGGAGTAACACTTTGCTTCCCCTGATGCTTGAATGTCATTAATTTTTTTCTCTGAAGTAATATTTTTCCCCCAAGGCTTTCTACTGTTGTTTTAGGTTCATATCACTCATCTGCTGATAAAAGTTCAGCTCTGCTGCTAAATAATTTATTGTTTTATGTATTAAATTCAAATCAACGGGAAAATACTGGCTTCTTGATTGTGTTTAAATATAGCCATTAAATTGTATATTTTTATGGACTGCTTTCCAAAATTTATTAGCAAAAGTCTAGGAAATATAAGCATGTTAACTGGCGAATGTCTTCATCTTAAATTTTAAAAATTCTAGTTTTAAAATTGTCAAGTACAGCCTTTGTTTTCAATTTTATGAGTTTTGTTTTGTTCTTTAGAGTAAGATAATGATGAAGCTATTGGGTTGGCCACAAAGTCCGTTACATTTTTTTCTGTACGATAGCTCTAGTAGTGCTTAGTTATCTTTAATTTCATTCCAATTTTGTTAAATTGTATTGTGACAGCTGTCATATCAGCATCCATTTAAACAATGGGTCAAAATTGGTGAATTTTTGTGCAGTCATTTTAACATTGAAGATAGAAGAAAATAGGCAACATTTTCACATATTATACTTTATTATTTCAAGAAAGGTAAAATAACTGAAATACACACAAAAGATTTGTGCAGTGTATGGAAAAGGTACTGTGACTGATCGAATGTGCCAAAAG